GGGATGTAAAAGGCATGAAATTGAAAGGGCTTCTTCTGGACAGAAGATGTTTATAATAAAAGAAACTGTGCTGTGCAGAAGAGAGGGACAACTTAGTTATGGCATAGGTGCAAGACATGGAAATAAGCTCCTGTTACCTGTGTTGACTGGCATGTAGCCAGAACCCTGGCCTGGGGGTACCACCAGCCCTGACTGTCCCTTCCTGTTTGATGTCCTGCTCACTTGGTATTCTCCAGGTACTGATTCCTTCACTGGGGAGGGTGGCAAGTCAGAGCCTGTATAGGAGCCAATGCACAAGAAGTGCCTGTTGTTTTCAGGTGCTGCAGGCAGGGTGACTGGCTCAGCTCTTGGCAAAGCGTCCTCCCAGCCCGCTGAGTAGACATTGCAGACTTCAGGAGCTGTCACACTCTACATTCAACCCAGTAGTACTTATGCTATCTCCAGCTCTGTCTGAGCATGTTTCCTACAGCAGGAGTAGGAGAGATGTGGAGTCATCCTGAGACAGGCTTTTTCCTGAACTGAATTCCTGGAAGAGAGCCCTTTAGCCCAAGGTTTGCCATCTGCCAAGAGGTAGATGACCTAGCATGTCAGGATACCAGCAGGTCTAGCTTTGCAGTTACAATGCAGGTGCTCGAGGACTGCTTCTAGGAGAAGGATAAACACGAACAAGGTGGGAGGCAGCAGGGATACAGCCCTTCTTGCATTCCCTGTGTGCAAGTTTTGCTGGGATAAGGAGCAGCCTGCCTGGTACAACTGAAGCAAAACTGGAGGGGTAGAGTTTGGAGCCACATGGCACAGGAGTCGCTATAAGACTGTGGCTCAGTAGAGGGCCATGAAACACACCGGTCCTCTCAATAATGTCAGCTCAGATACTTGTTCTCAAAGAACTTTTTAAGCTGCTACTGTCATGCACCTACTTGCTTTAGCAACGCTGAAATTTATCATTAATATAGAAAGTATATATATTAGTTATATGAATATAAATTAGTATGCACTGTATTTTACTTGAGGTCTTTTGTATGTTGGTCAAACTTAATATTGCATCCAGTTGTTTGAATGCTTTAAAAAAAAAGCCTGCCATTATATTCTTTAAGTAAACAATCCAGGAAAACTAGGAAGTATTAAGCTTGTATAATCCTGGTTTATTTTTTACAACTCTTCTATTCTACTTGATAGCTTGCTGAATTCTCACATGCTGTAAGACGTGAAAGACCTATACTACAGCAAAAAGCTTTAGATTAGACATCAGAAAAGCCTAACAGTAAGGATAATTGTGAGCTGCTTTCCTGAGAAGGATATGGAGTTGCCATCCTGGGAAGTTTTTATCCTGCAGCAGTCAGGAAGATAGATAGAGTTGATAGGGTTGATAGAGTTGATTCTGTTTGAGTGAAGGGAGATGCACTAGGTGGCTTCTGGGGACCCATTCTAGCCCTTCAATTATTATAGTAGAAGTCACAAATTCACACTTGGGGTGTTTGCAGTACATTTCAAATTAAAGATTCAGTATTTTGTATCCACATGCAGAAGAAAATACAGGACCAAGCAATTGCAGGAGGAAATGAGCTCAAGGCCTGTTCCTCAAACCTTCCTCAAAGGTAGCAAACTGTAGAGATCTTCAGTTTTGGAAGGAGCTAGGCCTAGACATCCAGTTGTTTATTAACAAGGACTTCATTCCTCTGAGCATGCGCTATCAGAGTACACTGTCCATTAGGTGGGTCTCAATCGTATATCAATATGTGCAGGTCATAGAGACTAAAATAAGTATTGGTCTCTAATTTAGCAAGGTCATTTAGGATAAGATGTTTTTCTGCAGCATTCTGTTATCTGATAATTCGCTATCTGGCTATTCCAGGTAAAGACCTTTCAGCAATGCTGGGAGTGTGCTGGTAATGCCTGGGGTGCTGATGCTGAGAGGCTGAGTGGATGAGCACCTGAGGCACTAGAACAACTGCTGGGTGGGAGCCAGAGACCCAGTTTGGTGGGTGCCAGGATGACACAGTCTCTGTGGCCAGCTAGCAGCAGGAGAACTGGCAGAGGCCAGGAGATCAGGCCTGAACAGGTCTGACTTGCGTGTATTTCTTGTCATAGCTGGGGGGCACTCCAGCTAAGAACAACTGAACTGTCAAGGTGAGGCAACTCCAGAAGTTGCTATTATACTGTGAAAACCAGGTGCAAACCAACTGGGCTCAGTGTACCCCCAGGGCACAGGGAGCTGCCACTTGAGTGAAATGATGTTGCTTTTAGGCTCATACTGGTGATGTTTTGAGAAAGGAGATTTCTGAGTGTTCCCATAGTGGTTTGGAAAAGAAGAGATTTTTTTTCATTCTCTGAAGAGAGCTATTCTACTCAGTCAGTCTTCCTGGGGCAAGGACTCCATGTGTTGTACTCTTCCTGAACGAATCAAAAGTGCTCTAAAAGATGATCTACAGCACTGAACTGCAGCCTGCCAAGAGAGAGAAGGGCATGTAGATATAGCCAAAGTGATTAATGGGCACAGTGACTGTGGGAACTTGAGTGCATAAGACTCTGGATTCCTGGAAATGCAGCATTTCTTCTTTTCATGTCTACGAGCTGTGGGAGGAGATAAGTGGAGAAGGAAGGCAGAAGGTGTAAAAGCCATCCTGCAGAGAAAAAGGAGGATCACTGTCAATGGCTCATGGTGAGTTGCAGGACAGCTGTTTAGGTGTCACAAACCTAATTCACAGAGTTAAAGAAAAAGACAACAAAAAAGGATTTTCTACTTCAACCCTCATGGTGTAGGAACACATACAAACCCAAAACGTTTGTTGGATGTTTATCAAACTTGTTCCTAAAATTTCCAATTGGGAAGATTCCACGACCTTCCCAGGCAGAATTCCAGTGCTTCACACACCTTTGCATGAAAGAGATTTTAAAAAGAGTTAAAGGACACTGCTCTCATTCCCCTTGGAAACTAACTTGGGGTTGGGAATTCTGTGACTAAACATGGAAAAATATGAAAAAAAAACCAAATTGGCCAACCAATATAAAAGCAGTGCCCACCACTCACTATCCACTCTATTACTTCTGGTTGTTCATGTCTCATTTGCTACTGCTATCAATGTGTCTTTACCAGGAAAGGGAAATTGGGGAAATTTTCCCTAGTACTTTAGAAACTGGCTCTTCAGAACAGATTTGCATCTGATGAGGAAACAGTAACACCAGTGCAGAGTACAGGCGATCAAAAATTGTACAAGGCCTGTATAAAAGCCCTCTGAAGTCAGCAGACGTGTTTATATTTCACCAACAGAATTTACTGAATCAGTGCCTGGAAGTACCTCCTTGATTAACTGACAAGTCTCCTGTTCATCACTTAAAGAAAATACATACTCCAAGCCAGTGCAGCAGAGCTGCATGAGGCTCCCTAGCGAAGGTGTAGAACGAGCAAGAATGTACAAACCTCTTTTTCTCCAAGGTGAAAGCCTAATGCAAGTATTTTATAACCTGACACTTAACGTTCAAATTCTTTTTTTTCATTACTGTGCAGTTCTATGTTTTTCCAAATTAAGAACATTAATTTGAGCTCAAAACTCATTTATTCATTTTATCCATATTTATTTTCCATTTCTAGGGAGTTGTTTCTTCTCCTTTTTCTAATTTAGATGAAATCTGCACTATGATCTCACAAACTGTGTGAGTGTGTGTGTGTGTGGGGGTGTTTTTCCAAATAGGTGCCTCTATTTTTCACTGAATTATAACCTTTATTATGTTTTTCAGTTTCTTACAGTGATAATGTTAATTTGGCTTTCTTCCCTTGCTCTTTCTCATTCTATTTTTTTCTCTGTACTTCACACTTGCATGCTGTCTTTCCCACATGCAATACAGCTTTGAGACCTGAAAATCTTCTGAACCTATTAATATGACATAATTTCAAACCAGCCAACTTTAAGCCTCTTGTGTTGTGGTGGGAAGGAAAATGGGGAACTGAGAAAGAAAAGAAATGCGTATTTGGATAAGCTTATTTTTTATAAGCTAGTACTGTGACATGAGCAATGAAAAAATAAATCCCTCGGGATTTTTTCAAGTTTATGGACAAACGTCTCCAGCCAATGTATCATGAGTGCTTACTGCCACCTTATGCTAGGGGTTTAATGGCACCTCTTGTCAAAAAAGCATCATCTGCTGCACCCTTCTGGACATTACCAGGACAGCACATTCTTTAGAAAATCCCAAACAAAATCAGGAGGGATTACAGCAGAGTTTTCATGAGCTTCCATTGTTTCATGTGGCTTCCATTTTTTCTAGTAGAAAACGGGCATAAAAATCTCTCTGCTTCTGATTGGTCTAAGATTTAAATGAAATTCAGGAGAAAAGACTTTTCCATGCTATTTACTAGCAGATCTAGAATGACTTCAGATTTCTGCATCTATACTCTGTGACATTTGTTATTTGAGAACAGAGCAAGTGACACTGTCAATGGCAGAACAAGCAAGGCTTGGATCTGCATAGTTCACATCCCTGCTCATCATGTCCTCCTGCATCTCTTGGGGAGCCAACTTCTCTCCTATATCAAACTGGGAAATCTTCATGTTCTGCACGCCCTTCTCACTCCCACATGTTCCTCTAATTCTGCCTTTTCCCATCCATGTCTCCATAATCTCTCTGTGAGGTACTCCTGCTTCCATAAGGACAGCCCATCTCTTCCACATCCATATGTACAAGGTGACGTTCCTGGGATTCACCTGTACATGTGCTGACACGCTGGTTGGAGGGTACAGATCTGCTGACTGTCCAAGCAGAAATGAATGGTGTTTTCTTCACATTTTCCAACATCCAGTACAAATGATTGAGTCTGATTTGGTAATCCACCCAATTCAAGGTTGTTACAATGGCCACAGTACGGTAAAGGGGGTCACAGCATGGGAGAATGATTAACTTCATCTACCTGCCTTGTTTGTTTGATGCTGCCTCACTGCAGTGCGAGTCAATAAAACTTTGTGCACTGACACACACAACTTCCAGCACCCGCCAACTGGGCCAAAATGGGGATTAGCAAAGCCGCTTTTCTCTTTCTTTTCTTGCTCGGCTCAGGTAAGAGTCTTTGCCTTCTGCTTGCCCAGGTAAGATGGGGGCTACATGCTTGCCCTTGGGGAAGGTAGGTCCCCAAATCTCTGTGTCATCACTTACCTGGATGATGATGGATTTAGGTCTTCCCGGCCAGAGAGAGTTGCTGTTGAGCAAAGCGAAAGCTGTGGTTGCTCCAGTGCTGTGTTTGTTTGAGACATCAGAAGAGCAACAGCCTTGGTGTCTGTGTGGGGAACAAATGGCTCTCTGCAGACATGGAAAACAGCCCCAAAGGCTTCTACAAAACCCATAGCAGCCAGTGAGACAGCTGTCTCTGTTTTCAGCAAGCTTTGGATCAAATGCTGAAGCTGTTTTTACTGCCAAGCATTGCTAAGCACAGTGACCCTGATTTTCATCCATTATGATAGGAGTTTTAAAGCTTTAAAATTAAACATTTAAAAGAAATTTAAAAATTAAAATGCTCCTTTTTATTCCATCAATTTCTCATTTCTGTTGTCAAGCACTTATAAGAAAATGTTCTCATGTTTTTGCAGAGGCAGTAGGTAGAAATTGTATCTTCAGTAGCCTAGGTCAACTTTTGCAGCAATATGTCTAGAATTCTTTTTTACAATTCCAAAAGAAAGTGGATATTCCACTAAAGCTAATATATGAATTTCAAGCTCATTTACAAATTCTGTAAGTAAATATTCCACATGTATTATACATTCCAATCAGATTTCAATCAGATATCATATTCTCTAGTACTTTAACACTGCATATCATTGTATGGCACTTATATGACTTTTAGAAAGTATTGGTAAAAACATATCATTGCAATTTCTATGATTTTCTAATAGCTCAGCCATTTAATATGTCAGAATAACAGGGGCATATCACTCTCTGATTGTGCTTGGTTATAAAAGAGAGCTGATAAAATTACTTTTGTTTGCTTATTGTTATCAGCTCTAATTCACTTGCTTTAAAGTGATGGTTCACAAAACTGCCTGAAAAACATTTTTTTATGTCTTCTGGATTAGTACTGGTCAAGTCTGGAAATACACATATGTAAAAAATAAATTGGTTTGCTTAAATATATATGAATATTCTGTTCAATCATCATGTGTCATGTCTGGGTTTATAAAGACTTGGACTTTGGCTAGACTAATACATTCCCTGCTGCATTTTAAACCTATTGTATTCTTCTACAAGTTTATACTTTGCAATGGTTTTTAGGCAACTAACATCCCATTTTCTTTTCTGGTATCTAAGCTTCTGCCAATCTGTGTTGCCTTTTAGCTTATGCATGTCATCCAAGATCTCATGTGTTCATTCTTAAACCAACTGAAATAAATCTTTTTTTTTTTTTTTAATGATCTATGAAAAGGAATTCTATCCAAAATACAGCTCTTTGGACAAACATATGGTTTTAAGATGAGCCAATAAAGTTTGAAAAGTAATATTTTCCTCTTCTGGTCCATGTACTTGTTTGCTGAGTCCATCAGGAGAAATTGGTAGGTGTTGGTGCTCCAAATAATCCTGCTATAACTGTAGGATTAGATATGGGAGGCCTCTGTCAGGGATTTCTTAAAACATGTAGATTTTATAGCTCTTAAACAACTCTGCAAACAGTCACAGAGGATAGTCCTCAGGCAATTAATCATCTTACTTTCTTTATTGGCCCAAATGCTTTTTACTTTACATGATTAGGAGGTAGGTGATAAATGAACTTTGTGTCGTGGGAATTAACTACACTGGAGTGATTGCAGTGAATTGAGCCTAGTATGAGTGTTTGCATAAATGAAAGATACACACCATTACTTGTGACAATGCTGCACAAGATTATGAATTTCCTGTGTCCATCAATAATAATCTAGCTTGAAAAATGATATAATTAAACCATATCACTTTTATAACCTTGTATCCTGGTGCTGGATATACAAACAAACTTTTGTAGAAATTAGGAACATAGAATGTTTTTTTTTCCCATGTAGAAACACAGAATCTTTATAGACATGAAAGGAAAAAAGCAATTAGATGTCTAACTCCATTGAGAGCAACAACATTTTAGAGATAAATATTAGATGTATTAGCAGGTACATCAAATACATATATTTCAGGCACCTGTAGCTTTCAGATATGATAATACTGATTCATTAATTTAAAATCTTGGGTTAATTTGCTGCAGCAGAGGTGCAGCCTGACAGTTTCGTTAGTAAGTGTGCTCAACCAATTACAACAGAATAATGGTGGCCATCATAAAAAGCTATATAGTCATTTTATGACAGAGGCAAGAGATCTTAGGACAAACAACTATTCAGTGACCAATAAAACTGTAATGATTGCACAATCCACATGGGAGGTCATAATCTCACATCCTCCCAGTTCTTGCTTCTCCAAAACTTTAATGTGGGTATCACTTCCTTTCTTCATTCTCTAACTGGTGTTTATTTGACACCATTTAGTCCCTCTCTCCAGTCTCCCTTATTCTTATTTCACATTTCTTGTTCTCAGATTCAAACCCATGCATAACTCTATCCAGAGCTGCTTCTCTACATCCCTCTTCCACTGTTTTTTCCTGTGACATGTTATAGTGATACAGCTGTGATTGTGTCAGGAGGCAGAAATTGCCTCAGTGTTTATTATCTTTTACCCAGAATTACACAAAATAAATGGTGCCTTTACCTGTCAAAGCTACGTGGAAAATGGGACTCAGAGTCACAGATCTTCTTAACTGCAGCATTCTCATTTTTTAATGCCTTGTTCCTTTCCTTCCCTTGTAGTGAAAGGAGATATACTGGATGGCTATTTAAGAACAGATGGTGTTTGGATACTTACTCGAAATAAGCAGTTTTACAAGACAAATAATGAAAAAGAATGTGCAGAGAAATGTGAAGCAGAAGGAAATTTTAATTGCAGGTAATGTCTGTTGAATCTTAAAACTATGTTATTGTGTGTGTCTGCATAACAATATTTTCCTACTGTTGCTCAGAATCAAAATCCCCATCCTGCTGCAGCTCTGCCTACAGCAGCATCCCCCATGAGTGTGCCTTTAGCTTGTGGCTTACCTCCACCTGTAAATTACTACAAGGTCAAGTAAAAGGTGGATTTAAAATGTATTATTTGTGCTACTGCAAATGCTTGAGCTCCTGCTCTTATCCAGTGTTATACAGAGCTGCTTACCCCTCTTCAGCTGGATGCTACCATGTTTCAAAAAAGTGAGTTAGGGAAAGGTGCTAACCTGAGCACTGGAACAGGCTTCCCAGGGAACTGGTGGAATCACTGGCCCTGAAAGTGCTGAAAACCTGTGTAGTTGAAGCCCTTACTGCCTGGTTTAGTGGTAGGCTTGGCAGTCCTGGGGTAACTTGGATTCATATTCGATGATCTTGAAGGTCTTTTCCAATCTAGCTGATTCTACAATGCTATTGATAACATTTTGGCAATGCAGTAACTAGCTTCCCACAAGGTAACTTTTTCACATAGTTATACATCCTGAAAAAATCAGCCTCTTCAGAGCAGTAGAAAACATCAAACTCTTACTCAGTGTCTCAAATACTGAGTGCAGTATCTGAAAGATGGAAATGAGACAGTGCTAGTAAATTAATAATCTATAGAAAGATAATTACAAGTTGAATAATTTGAATTTAATTTAAAATATTGCTTCTTATGTGAATATCGCTTCCTTCTCAATTTCAACAGGGCCTTCCTATTCACCAGGAAAAAGCTACAGTGTTTAACACTGGCTGAAAATACCAAAATGACAGTGACATTCAACAGCACAGATGCAGTTCTTTTTGAGAAGAAAAGTATGTACCTAGTAAGATGCTACACATTTACATGTTTGGTCTGTTTTAACTGCACCTTTGCATTCTCTGCTGCAGTGCTAGAGTGGACTGTTGCAGGTGATGACAGTTTCAGTGAGGTGGGCCTGCACCCATTATGAACTGGGCTGAGAGTGACAGAGACTTCCACATAGCTCATTATATTTGAACTTATATCTCACTCCTTTGGTCATGTATTACTAGGACCAGGCTATATAAGCATTTGTTTATGCTTAACTCTTACTGTATGCCAGGCTCAGATAACTGTCTGTCTGATCTGGGAGTCTGAGGCTAAGAGGAATCAAAGATCTGGGGGCCATCATGTGACAAACACATTTTGATAAGTAAAAATTTTCTGGCTTGAAGGGGTAGTTGCATGACACCCACATTGCAAATGTGTTTATGAACAGTGCATTTCAAATAATCTCCAGCTGCTGGTGAAAGATCTCCCTTAAAAAGTAAGTTTATTATTATTATTATTATGCCAGTAATATGATAGCATAATCATGTATTTTATACCTGCCAAAAACAATTGTAACTTGTTATGGCTGTTTTCTTAACTAGATTTTTTTAGCTTTATAAAATGCTTCAGGAATTTTCCTCTGTAGTTGCTAGTAGTTGGTAACTGATTTGTTTTAAAATACCTTGTGGAATCACACCTTTGTTTGCATGCACAAGAGGTTCAAAACATGGTAAAACACAATTCATTGTGAACTGATGAATTTCAGAGTTATATCTGCACATTCTCAGTATTAAGAGATGCTGTGTTGTAGCACCACTGAATTAACAAAGCCATTTCCATTTCAGTTTACCTTCTACAATGTAAAAAAGGGAGTGGGAAAGACTACAGAGGAACAGAAGCTAAAACTTGGAGGGGTATTCCGTGCCAGATGTGGGCAGAAAAAACACCACACAATCCAAAGTATGGCCTTATTTATGTTTGTCTTCATGTTGTTCTGCATCTCTTCCAAGCTTCCCCAACTTCATGTGTATAAGCAACTTTATAGTGCATGTTATCAAAGACAGTTGTCAGGTGGCTTTTTAAGAAAACTATATATTCATTTGTCTTGTTACTTTTGACTCTACTGGCAGAGAACTGCAACAATCTGGATAAGCAAAGGACGCACTGTCAGCTAGGGAAGTTGTGTCTACATTCTGGGTCTCTTAAGAACATGAAATGCTGCTTCTATCTACACATGATGTAAATTTTGCTGTTAGTGACAGTGGGGCCATAATTTCTCTCTTCTGCATGAGGTGGGGGGGTTTTTTTTTGGGGGGGAGGAAAAGCAGTAATATCTGTCCAGCTCTATGAGCCCCCGCCTGCCATCCAGACAGTCAAGAAGAAACATCCAGCAAAGTATCTAGGTGCCAAATGGACTCACCTAGGCAGAGTTTTCTCATGGCTGGCTGCCATGGGGCTCACTGAAGCAAGCCTGGAAGCAGATGTCCTATTTTCTTTAGTCATTGATGGAGTTCTACCTGTTTAAAAATTGTGTTGTTTTGTTATCCTAATGAAGCATGGGTGTGTTTGTTTAGATTTTTGTTTAAGAGCTGTTTAGTCTTCTCTGGGAGGAAGAAGCCTAGGGTAACTTACTTGCTTCAAAATCTCTGCAAGTTAGGATCCAGTCGTGTTTGGTGAATAGTCTCCAGAAATACTCCTTTTTTAAAATAGTTCCACTAAGAAAAATACATGACAGAGCCATAGGTCACAGTGAGCTGACTAGATCAGCTGGATGCAAGTATTAAAGACAATAATTGTCCTTTGAAACTGTCATAGTCCTTACAGGCTGTAAGTTCACTCATCACTGGCAATAGAGACCTAGTGAGAAAGCTGCTAATTATCATAGTTATGGAACGTTTTTTCAGATTTCATTTATGGGTTACAATGGACAATCTGTTTTTCTCGTTTTTGCCATGAAAGAAGAGAGCCTGCCACTAGCTAAGCAAGTTAGACATTTCCCTTCTGCTCCACTAAATTACTGGAATTTAAATAATTTTAATACTGTTACAGTTATACTCCTGAAAAACACCCCAAAGCAGGGTTGGATAGAAACTACTGCAGGAATCCTGATGGGGATGAAAATGGACCCTGGTGTTACACAACAGATCCCGCTACCAGATTTGATTACTGTAACATCCCAGAGTGTGAGGGCCAGGTCACGCACACTGGAGAAGGTATGTTTATTATTCATGGAAGGAGTGTTTGAGTA